ATTTCCTTGATTCTGTAGCAAACACACTGAGGAGTTGGAAAGGTAAAAGAATGTACACAGTGGGAACGTTGTCTCAACTACAGCACCATGATGGTGATTCTCAATACTAGGGATGGGACCCAGACACCATACATGACCCCAGAAGGAGGACAGAAGGAGTACTTCAAGGAGCCAAAGATGGGGAGGAAGTCCTCCCTTCCTTATGCCATGCTGCATTAACAACCCAAACTATGGGAAAAACTTAGACTCTTCAGAATAATCTATTTGTGGGAAAGACATGTTCCTGAGACAGCACATGGTACTCTTTTTTTTTTTTCAATTTACTTACACCATTAAATTGAAAACTAATTCCTATGAGGAATCTTTTTTTTTTTTTAAAAGATTCCTTCAAACCAAATGATAAAGCACATAAGAATGTAGAAAACCTATTAAAATCACCTATCAGAAGGCGGGGGTGGGGTGGGGGGGGGAGATACGATTCTGATAACATCAGCACTATTGCACTATTGCCTAAAGGCAATAAAACAAAAATACATCATAAAAGCAAAGGCTTTTTCCTATAAATACCACACACATCCAGGGGAAAACGCACCCCTCATTTCAAAAGGCGGATTTCCATCCCAAAGCAGAACTCCCACTGGGAGTTTCTATGTTACTTTGGAAATTATTTTCTACCTGAATACCTCTACACAGGTAAAACGGGCACCGAGGTAATTTAGCAATTAACACAGCTGCTTAGGGCTTTAGGTTTAAATGCATTTTCCAAGAAGTCACTTATATTTGGACCTGCAGCTCTGCTCATTATAGTTTATTGTTTATATTTGTGTTCTCATTAAAGCCAGGCTAATTCTCACATTCCATTTAAACCCTCACTGGGAGTTCCCTTCCCTCTAACAAATACCTATAGCCCTCCAGTCTCCTTCTCCACAGGTCCTCTTCCTCCCCTACATCCCTACTCACCTCAGGCACCTTCCAGGGGTGTGCTATTTAGGGCACTTAAGTGCATTTGGACTTGAATTGTTCTACAACTCCTTTCTGTGATACCAGTTTCTCTCCTAGCTTTAAGTCCTGTGGAATGTCTATGACCAACGATGTCCAAAGAACATCATGGAGGGCTGAATGTGGGCTTAGCAAATATTTATGGATTTACTATAGGTTCAAAAGGAATCTCTACATAATAAGAGAGACTTGAGATGCTCAGACCTAGATACTGAAAGGCAGTTTCTACCCTATGACTTGGAAAAATTTCCTTCCCTTCTGTAATTGTTTGGCTCATCTCAAAAATGAGAATAAGAATGGCATTATATCCTGGCATGGTCTGAAGACTAGAAGAGACGAATACAAGGAGCTCAATACAAAGAAAGAGTCATGTTCTATCAATAGTGGGTACATAGTAGGTACAGAAAGAGTCCTGTTCTATCAATAGTGGGTACATAGTAGGTACAGAAAGAGTCATGTTCTATAATAGTGGTACTCTAGTGATACTCTATCAACAGTAGGCACTCTGTAAGTGGCAGACGCTATGAAGAAAGACATTTCTTTGCTGAACTGTTTGGCTGGGAGGAGCTGCAGCCAGACAATGGTAGCAGAGGACACACCTCTCAGGACTGCTCTTCAGGCTCTGCTTGGCATTCTTTGTGATCCTTTTATATAGGGACAACATGGGTTTGATAGCTCCTCTTTGGTTTTTTAAAACAACACCTAGCTGAGTGTGGTGGTTCATGTCTTTAATCCCAGCGCTTGAGAGAGTGAGGTTGGAGGATCTTGAATTCAAAGCCAGCCTGGGCTACATACTGAAACTCTGTCTCAAGAACAGAAATTAAAAACAAAAACAAAGCAATCCCCAAACACAGGACTACTTTTTCCACAAATGCATCAGGTACTATTCCAAAATGTGATTATTTTGATACTTAAACCCTCTTTCATCAAGGGTGTTAACATCAGATGAAGTCAGATGATGGGGGTGTATGGGGAGTCTGTACTCTATTTCCACAAATAAAAACTTATTTCAAAGAAAAAATTTCAAGCCAGGTGTGGCAGTACACACCTGTAATCTCAGTACTTGGGAGGTGGAGGCAAGAGGCTTGCAAGTTCAAGCCCATCCTGGGTCATATAGCTGGACCCTGTCTCAAAAAACTAAGCACGAAGGACATAGCTCAGTGGTAGAGTGCTTGCCTAGAATATGTAAGGACTTGCCATAGGAAAAAAGTCCTCAAAATATCATTACCAATTTTTGAATTCCTTAGTTTTACTTTTTATATTTAGGATTGAATATCCTCCACACATATACTACTTTATTATTTTTTAAGCACTGAGACTCAAATCCAGGACCTTGCCCATATGAAGTAAGTGTTTTACAACTAAATTACATCCTTAGAGAGATAACTATATTTCAGAAAGTTTCCAGTCCCCGTTGATTCTATCATGGAATGCAACCGAAATACTTAACCAGTGAGCATCTATGTAACTTTGGGAGTTATTTTGTTTCCAGTACCTTGATTTCTTCATCTATAGAGGAATGATCATGAACTTCCATAAACTTTTGTCAAAACTATTCAGTGTTAGTTGCTGCTGCTGCTGATACTGTTTGTTCTGGTCTGAATATTGGTGTTCCCAGATTTATATGCTGAAAATAAATGAATCCTCAGTATAAAAGGGCTGGGGGCGAGAGGACAGCAAGGGCTTTTGAGAAATGACTAGTCTGAGGGCTCCAGTGTCATGAATGGGTTATCCTTTGTATAGAAGAGATAAAGAGTGCATGTTGTCTCTTTTCTCCTCTTCGTCATATGGGGATACAACAAGAGGTGCCCTCTGTGGAGCAAAGGGTGAGCTTCACCAGACACTGAACCTGCTTGTCTCTTCACCCTGAGCTTCTTATGAGAGAAATGAATTTCTAGCATTTATAAGTTATCCGGCCTAAAGTGCTTTTGTTAGAGCAGCCTGAATGGAATAAGACATTATCATTATTAAACTACTGCTAAATTTGCATTCTTAGAGTGGAGTTATATCTGTGCAATAATTTTAAACTAATTCTTGAGAACCATGACCTTCAGGACTGATATTTGTTACACTGCTTAGTTTTCCTGTGTTACATGTCCATATCTATCTTTGAAGATTTGATGCCCTGAGATCATTCTGCAACCACAAGTCCAGTCCAACTCTTGGTGGAGCAATGAGTATGAAATGAGCCCTACCAAGCTGGTTTTTTTCCTTCAACCCATGTGCCACCTGAGCCAGGGAATCCATGTGTTTTTACACCTGCAGGACTCTTTTAGCTCATGGAAGAGATTGAATGATTCAGGCAGCACCCTGCAGTTGCTGTTTTTATTTCGGGAGGCATGGGACAAGTCCAGCACACACAGTGTGTGTTATGCTTTGCCCAGAAACACAAAGAATAACAGCTAAATATTTAAAAACTCCTACCAGGCATTCTTGCCTTATAGTAAGCCACATGTTGTCACATGTAAACTCCATAATCAAACTCTGTTCATCCATAGGGTCTATTCTATTGCCAACCACAGTGGCTTTGGTAAAGAGAGGTAAGGAAAAAGTAAGGAAATGCACGGCCACGTTCCATAGTATGTATTCTATTTGATAGGTTTTCTATTCCCCCTCTGCATGCTCCCTGCCCCATGAAGAAAAGAGAGAGAAAAGACAGAGAAGAGAAACAAGAGTAAGGTTGTGACCTTGCAAATGGTTTCAAGGCTAACCTCATGGCCCAGAGACGCCTCACTTTGTCTGAGAAGGAAACATGTGTGCAGGACTGGGGACCTGGGTTGTCAGCAGTGAGAAGTGCAGAGTGGCCTCTGACAGCATCAGCTGACTGGAAGGAAATGTAGGTGAGAGTCAGAGGCCCAAATAGAAGGATGAAGCAGGGATGGCTTGGAGAAAAAAAAGAAACTTCTCTACAACACAAGATGTCAAAAGGGGATCTGTGTGTACAATAGGAATTTTACTGAGCTTCATTTGACAGAGCTTCATCAGCTTTGGCTGGTTTGTTCCATGATTTATCCAGAAGCAAGCTAGCTACCCTTCTAGCAACATGTCAAGACCATTTACTTGGTTTCCCTGTGAAGAGGAAGAAAAGGTGTCTATATTTACAAAAAAAATGAGGATGTTTCCCAAGTAAGCAAGCTTTGTCTGAAACTCCCTCTTTTTCTCTTAAATAGAAATAATTCTAGCTTAAAAAATTATATATCCTACTATGTATAAGTAAAAACAAAGTCAGTTTTTTCAATACTTAGGACAATTGAAAATCCTAAATACAAACAGACATTTAATACCTTGTTGATCAAATGGAGGTAAATGTCAAGGAAAACACATACAGCCATTCCACAAAGGAGCCCAAAGAAAACAAGGCTGTGGTTGGAAGTGCACTGCGCTTGGAATAGTGATTAGAAGGAGAGGGTCTGGACTTAAATATTCAAGTCCTGGCTCCTTACTTACTAACTCTGCAATGCTGTAAGTTACCAATCTCGCTGTGACTCAGTTTCCTCATCTGGAAAATGAGGCTAGTAATTAAGTAGGTATGAAGACTAAATAATCTATTTAAATTGTTGACACCATATTAACATGGAGGAAGCATGTGTTTCTCTCTCTCTCTCTCTCTCGCTTGCTCTTTCTCTCTCTCTGTGTATAATTACCGCTATCTTGGAGGTGGATTTGTCAGGTCATCATGGCCTGCTGCCACTCACACCTTCATCTTCCATTCATCAGCCTTCCCTGCCATAGTTCCAATCTCACCAATGGCATTTTGATTAATTGCCTTCCTTGTCACCTTGTCACTAGAGGGAGAACACACTGGCCATGTTATCCAAGTAGAGGATCCACACAAAAGCTGGTCGTGACCTGATACATGATGTTGAGTGTCTGGGAATTCAGGTAGGTTTACAGAGTCTCCTGAGCAGGTCTCAGCTATGGTGGTTAGTCTATCATGGTAGACCCTCAAGTGACCTTGAGTTTCACCTAAAAATGCTGCTGGCCAGGCAGGTAGGCCTTACCTGTGACGTGGAGCTTCTCATCGGTGACCTCAGCCTTCAGGTAAATTCGGCCTCTTTTCTCTGTATGATCCATCCCACAGAGGCTGGGGACATTTATGACACATTGCTTGTGAACATTCATGTCGCAGGCTGTGAATTAAGGAAGCACAGGGTAAGGCAGCCATATGGGCTGAAGGCATTTCCTCTGTGTTTTGGTATCCAGGCAAAAATGACAGTGAGCTAGCCCTGAACTTGATACTCTGCTATAATGTTTTTGGTGACATAAGGAACTGCTAGCAGATGTCCTTTCCAGCACAGGCTCCGTGCGAGTGAAAATATCCTTAAAATATCCACCCCATATTTATTCAAGTCTTCACCAAAGCAAAATACCCAGCTTGTTCTTCAGTGATTACTTTTAATATTTAACAAAATCCACATAGGTAAATGTGCACCAAGTGCAGACTGATTAATAGCTTATGTACATACAAGCATATAAAACACAAATCTTAAACAGATACTTTTTGCCAAAGAATTCCTTCTGCCACTGAGAGCCTGGAGCCTGCCACTGCGCAAGTAACCATCTATGGGCCGCACATAGGAAATTCCTAAAATTTCCTTTTCCTCACCTAACCTGGTATTTTCAAGAAGGTGCAAATACGTTGCTTTTTTCCTTCTTTAAAAGAACTTGCGTTTGATATTTTAAACCTATCTTCAATATTTAAATATTATTCCAAGTAAAACAAATACATGCCTGGCAGAAGCCCTTCCTTACAGCTGACATTATGTGGGAGAGACAGGGGGAGGATAAAAAAAGATCAGTCTTATTGCAATGAACCAAAGAAACCCTGAAAAGAATCCTGAGCACTGACTACAAACATGAAATGTGTAGGTGTTTCAGCTCCATCCATCTGGTAACTTCGGGATTCCTGAGGAAAGGATGGCCTCTGGAATCTTCACAAATACTGCCAGGATGATAACAAGGCTATCCTACAACCTTCAAGGTAGAGCCTTCCTACCCTTTTCATTTCCAGCATTTGGTGTGAACATGGCAAACTGTGAAAAACATTGTGCATGAGACATGTTTGTCAGTAAAGGCAGGATAATAGACACAACAAGGGAAAAATAATTGGCTTATTCACAAATATGTATTGTTAGGTTCCTCTTTCCAGAGCTAACTGTTCAAGATCATGCACTTGGGCTTAGCCAAGATAATTTGGTTAACTGAGTTTATATCTTCGATTGCCTGGACAGAATAGGTGATTTAAGAAAAATAAATGCCAGAGCCTCTGGAAAGAACATGGGCAACAGGGAGTGAATGGGGTGGGAGTTGGAGGAAGAACACTGGGCTGTGTCCTATCTCAGCTTGGATCCACCATGAGCTTTTTTTTTTTTTTTTACCTTGGGAAGCTCAGTTGCAACCTTGATTCCATTTCCTCTACTAACTAAACTAAGAGATGGTCTACACAGCAGTTGCTCTTTTCTTAGGAAGAGGAACTGTTCACAGACATCTGTATAACCTGCCGGGCAGGGGAGGAGGCTGCAGTGCTGGGAGAGCTCAGGTAGGAGTAGAGGTCTTAGTCTATCTGCTCATTCTCCTCTTCCCTCTATGAAGGAGAAATCCTAGAAACTCAAGAAGTCTAACTGAAGAGTTCGAAGCCAAACAATAGCACTCATCCAGGTAAGTGATTTTCAAAACTTTTTAGTAATAGGACCCATTTTTCAAGCAGAATCCTAATAAACATGATGGGTGTTATTAGCATACATTTAGCTAATACATTCAAATTTTATTCTATTTTATTTATTACAAGGCTATTCAAGGACAACCAGTACAGCCCTCTGATCCAAACAAACCCCTAAGGATGCTAGTTGATATCTGCTGTGGTTGTTATGTTCACATAACAACTTGGAAACTTCACTCCCAAATTCATAGGTTCAACATTACAACTGGAGTGGAGCCTTGGGGAGGTGAGTTAAGATGAGATAAGAAATGTAACGGTGAGGCCCATGATGGCATAAGTGGCTTTTATATGCATAAAGGTCTGGGCTTCCAGCTCCACGTGAGGGCTCTGCCATGTTCATACTGTAGCAAGCAGGACACATCCTGGTACCATGCTTGTGGATTCCCAGACTCCAGAACTCTAAGCCACAAAAACATCTATTCTTTTATAAACTGCCCAATCTCACATATCTTATAAAAAATATAAAACAGATTGGAAAACCACTCAGAGCAGCCTCAACATTTCATCTATTTCTACATCTTGTTAAAACTGTGAACAGAATCCCTGGCTCATACAGAAGGGAGCATGCAGGTGGGAGCGGTGGAGGGGCACGCCTCCCCAGCACAGCAGTGGGAACCATGGGGGAAACTCGATTGCAAGTCCTACGGCGTGAGTGAGGCTGGCAATGGCAGCGCTCCAGTGTTTCACTTTTGTCAAGGTTGGCATGTAACACATTCAAATGCTCAGTTGTGTTCCAAGTTTCAAAACAGTTAAACATACGTTTACAAATGAACTTGGTACTTGCAGAAACTCTGAAAACCCTGTCTTTGAAATCCAAGAGTTTCTTGAAGTGGAGGAGACTAATGGCCCAGAAGGTAACAGTTTCATTTGGCTGTTAAATTATACAACTTCATAAGGTGAACCATTCCTGTGTTCTGAGAAACTCTCCATCTGTCCTATAATGTTCTTCCATATTGATTTTTATATACTGTGTTTGCTCTGTGTAAGAGACAAATATAAAGCTTTGGGCCATTATGACAGCCATTAATAAAGAAGAATATGCTGCAATTACCATAATATTCGCCTGTCTATTAGAAAAACAGGCTTAGTAATTACCTTCCCGTGTTCTAAAAACACAAACTTTCATTTAAATGAATAGCCTAGGGAATCTCATAATGTAAGAATTAGCAAAGCATGGTGGTTTTTATTTTTTCCTTTCCTCCTGATATTTGATGGAAATGCAGAAAGACAAAAGGGGAGGCTGGGAAAGGGCTGGTGTCTTCCTCAGAGGTCTTCAGTGATTTCATCTCAAGCAAGGCTGCTATAAACTTAATCCATAAACAGCCAGGACGAGTGAACTGAAGTAAGATGTTATCCTAGTTTTTATGTTCATTTGAGCTTTAGTTTTAGGGAGAGCCTACTGGATTTTTCCACAGTCCACCCACTAATTAGAGACATAGGAAGATAATGACTATGGTTGCTTAGCTTATTTTGAAACTAACCAAATGTAGAATCTGGAGGTGGGGAGTTTTCTTTGGGGTTTGACTAGCCTGCATTTTTGCAAGGATTGAAGATTTCTACCATGTTAAAAAAAAGCGACAGCACCCACTAACTTCATTTATAAATGTAGTGCCTTTTATGGTTTATAATTAGGCAAGCAAGAAGTTTACTAAAGTAAAATTTGGGCAGTGTACAGCCTGGTCTTCATCTGAAGCAATTCTACTGATGAGCTGGTGTTGAGAAGTTACCAAGCCTTGAGCACTCCAGTGTCCTGGGCCTAAGCTGCAGAGCCTCATCAGCTATCGGACAAGAAAACTTACTTACTGTCACATTTCATCCCTTGGTGGATGAGTCCATACAGCAGTGACCCACAGTGATCACAGAAGGTGGGACTTCCATAAGTATGGATCTTGAACTTGTGCTTGCTCCTGGGGTCCTGGGGAAGAAGAAATACAATGCTCATTCCAGGCATGAAAGTTTTGGAGTAAGCCAAGTCCATGCCTCATTTTTCTGTAGTCACATAATCCTTAATGGGCCTTTTGGTTATGTCACATTTTAATGGAAAATGTACCCATGTTTCCTTCCTTCTAATTTGTGCATGCCCAATTACAGGGCTTCTAACAAAGCCATCACTTCCAGACTACAGTCAATCATCAATATCTTTAAGGGCAAGCATAGTTTTTTTTAATGCTCCATGAATTTGCGTGGGGCCATGCTAATCTTCTCTGTATCGTTCCAATTTTAGTATATGTGCTGCCGAAGCAAGCACAGAGTATAATGTTTTAAAGTATGCAGTTCTCAGCCAAGTTGCCCATGGTTTATTACTGTAATCCTAGCAACCTGGGAGGAGGATTATGATGAAAGATGAACACGCATAGAGAGGCCACCCCTCTCCCTCTCAACCAACAGCTGGGCACAGCTATGTGGAAGGCTGAGGTCTGGAAGCTGGGAGTCCCATGCCAGCTGGGCAAAAAAGCCCACAAGACTCTCTCTCAATGGAAGAAGCTAGTATGCTTAGCTTTGGGATTTAAAAGTTAAGGCACATAAACGCCAGTGAGTGATTCTGACTATTTTTCAAGGGCACAGACTGGATGATTCTGAAATACTTTAATCATGTAGATAAGTTAAAAAAACAAACCCCAGCAAACCAAATACTGTACTATCCAGCTTTTGATTTGATAAAGAACATATCTCCTTATTTTCCATTATAGTGTTATTATTTTCCTTTTGCAGAGATGCTAATGACCTTCCAAAAGCCACATGGCAAAATGATATCAGAAATGGGATTTGATCCACATCTGATCTTCATCTCAAGAGTTCCCAAAGATCTATTCAGAATGAGGATCTGGCTCTTATCATCTTTTTGTTTTTTAATTTATACATTTTCAACAATATTAAAAAAGTCTACCACCTGTTTTATAAGCAAGAATTTTTTTTATTGCAATACTGCTCCACTCATGTAGTGACATAGTTTCTGTGGTGACAGTGGCAGAGGGGAGTATTTGTGACAGAGGTAGTATGGACCACAAAACCTGAAATATTTACTTTCTGGCCTCTGTAGGAAAAATTGCCAACTCCAGCTTCAGGACAATGGGTTCAACATGCCATCGCTACCTGCATCTACCTGCATCCCATTAGAAATACATTAGCTTCCAATGGACCAAGTGAATCAGAAACTCTGGAGAAGTCTCCCAGGCTGTGCTTCCAGAGGTCCTGCAGGTGATTTCAAGGTTGGCAAGTATGTTAAAGACAGAGACCTCCTGCTTCGGAACATCACTCAGCAGATGTTTAGTGGATTTCTAACAGGTACAAATGGAATACACGTATAGATGATTCAAACTATTCTTGAAGCTGGTCACTAGTTTACCTTCTAAATGCTTCTCTCAAGGTTTCTTCCTTAAGAGATTACATTTTGATCAAGTAGTAGCTGTGAAGGCGGAGTGACATAAGGCCTTAGACCCAATATTTTCTCACACATAAGGAAGAACACTGAAAAAAACAGACCAGCATCAGCACCAATGAACAGTACTCATGTTGACAGGGAAGGTTATGTCCCACAAGGTGAAGGGCAAAGAAGATGCTGGGGGAAAGGCTGTGACCAGTTTCCCTACAGAAACAAGGCATCAACAACTGGCAGTAAATAAAGAATGGCAGCTCACTCTGAGAGGCCTCTGGAGTATGTTTGAGCCAGGCAGCCTCAGGATGGCTGTCCTGACAATTGACGGTCACATAGATCTCTACTGACTTGAAACATAGGCAACAGACTTTACTTTTCAGGAAACCTAACTCATTCATATATGCATCTATAGGGTCTAATCCTTAGGAGATGGAAGAAGGCAGAAAGCCATTGCTTTACCTCCTACAAAGCTGCAGAACAACCAAATCCCAGAGTCCTTCACACTCCAAAGTCTACATGTGGCCACAGATGCTGTGATGAATTACATCCACAATAATAATGGTGCCACTATCTGCTTGTTGATCGTCTGGTGTGTGTAGATGCTGTACAACTTCCCAAACCTCTTTTTAGAACAAGAGTCTCCTGTGCAAAAGCCTATTTACTGGTACTCTGGAGATCTGTATTCTGACCCTGGCACTGACACAAACTCTGAGACCTTTGAGCAATCATGTCACTTATTTATAAAGCAGAAATAAGTCCAGTTTGCCCTGAGGGTTATGCTCAACTCAGGAAGCTTAGGAAAAGGGTTAGCAACCTAAAAATCATGGGACAAATAAAAGACATTACTATCACACTATCTTTGGAGATAAATTACAAGGTACCTAAGATTAACGCTTTCCCCAAGTATTTCAGTAACATGGGCCTGAATGAAAGGACCAGGAAAGCTAGGCAATGTCAGTTCTCACTGGTGGTCAGAGCAGGGCTAAACAGGCAGAAGGGAGGGGACTTTTTATTTGGTCCTGCATTCTAGCTCCCTGCACCTGCACCTGGCCTTCCAAGGAAGTCATCTGGCAATCACTCTGAACAGTGAACATAAAACTACCCACCAGCCCAGACCACCACGTGCCATTCCCACCGTCAGAGTGACTCTGTCATAGGAACCAGAGAAGCGGAAGGTAGGAACATGGAAGCTTTCCCAGTCTAATTAATCTCACCTAGGCTGACAAAAGAGACCATGGTGTTCGCTAAAGAGCTGTGACTCATGATGATTTGCAGAGAGCCACTGGAACTAAAAATCTCCTGGGCTCTCTGTGCTTCTATCAATAGCAATTAAAGGACAAAGCATTTTGTTTCTTTGGGCCCCGATTTCCTCATCTGTTCCCTGAAAATGTGCGGTGGGAGGACAGCATTTTAAATGATACTTCATAGATCCCTAAGGTTGCCAGGAGGTACCCAGCCTGCTGAGGAAGAGGATGGAGGAAGGCATACGAAGGAAGAGGCCACTGCTAAAATTTAAAGTTGAAAACAACTGGGCTAGATGATCTCTTTGATTTGTGTCTTGCTATTAAAAAAACAACAAAAGAAAAAGAGAAGGAAACTTTTTACTTTGAAATCATCTAAGACTCACAAGAATTTGCAAATCTAGTACAGCCTGTTCCTGCATGTGCTTCATCTAGCTTTCCCCTGTGAGAACATCTTAAATAACCACAGCACATGAGCACAATCAGGGCACTGCAGTGCTACCACACCACCAGCCAAACCATGGGCTTCAGGGGCTACTAGATTTTCTGTGCCTAATTCCTAGGCAAGGATTTTAATTGTGTGACTTATGAATTAAATATATTGTGTGCTGTATAGGGAATATGGTAATATTTGCTGGGTAAATACCACTAGTTCCAGGAGAACCGCAGCCAAGGAACATCTGCTCCTTGTTCATGACATCTATAGCCTGCTGGATCTCATGGGAGAGGGGAGAGGGAGAATTAGTCCAAGCATCTATCTGAAAAGTAGCATCAGAAAGTTCTTCTCTATGTAAAGGAAACACATGTCGTTCCCAAACACTTCTGATCAGTTCTTCAGAATGAAGTCCTTTCAAAGCCCAGGATGACTGAGTGCTGAGCTAGGTATGCAGCTAGTCTGGGTCATGAGAGAATGAAAGGTATGCCAGTTGTAGACAGGTGGGGTGCAGGGCCCTGGTGGGAAAAACAAGGCAGACTGCAGAATCCCAAGACATGAGCTGTCCCCCACTGGTCAGAGAGTAGAATTTGTGAAAATAGTCACCAGCTGAGCCATACAATAACTCCTGTGGTGTCCAGCAGGTTCTGGGTGGTCAGGGAAGTGTGTGGAGAGGAGCCAGCCCCTAGAGGAGCTGAAGCTCATGTGTGCTCATGTCCATGTGTCACTGTCCTCGGGTTCTGAGCAGCCTCAGGACTCTCCTATGTCTACAAGCCCTGGCACCCAAGCCTCCTCTTGGGTGCCAATATCCCAGCTTCTCTCATTTATGTCTTCACTTGAGATTGCTTCCACCTGTGGAACACCCATCAAGGCAGGAAAGAAGCTCCAGCCTAGGAAGATCCTGCAGATGGCAGTACTAGGAACAGATTTCCCCCCCAGCTAACATTCCTGAGCGCTTTTACTTCCGTATCTGTATGCCATTCCACAGTCTGCCAGTCATAATAATTATGGACTCTGTCTACCTTCCTTTCATTTTTTCCATCACACACACACACACACACACACACACACAGAGCTAAATATGAGAGAGAGAGAAAGAGAGAGAGAGAGAAGGGAAGAGAAGAAGAGAGAGAGAAAAGGGGAGAAATGAGATGAGAAGCACAGAGAAGAGAACAGGAGAGAGGGTCATGGCAATTAAAGGAAAGAGAGATCCTACCATATATACTTTTAAATTAGTAACCATGATAGAACCAAGGATGAATATTATGTTTTAAATATGAATTTTACCCCAAGCTATTGGAAAACCAAAAGAAAGAAGTCTGTATCCTCTAGAAATCTCGTGTCTCAGCAAATGTGGATGAAAGCAATTACTAAGTCCTTAGCACAGAACATCTTTATCATGGCTCACCAAAGGGGTGGGGGCGTAGACAAGATTATCCCATGGGTGAATTATAGCAGGTGTGGCCATGCTTAGAACCACAGAAAAATGGATAGGGTACAGCAAGTCTTCTTTCCTACTAAGTCAATGGCATTTTCTTCTTAGTGAAATACATGTAAATGCTACTTTTTTCTTCTACAGGCACTGGCAGTCTCTCTATATGAGAACTATGAAAACTGCTGTTTTTGTCACCGGCCCAATATTACATTATAAAACAAAAGGTAAAGACAATTAGCTCAGACATTTCTACCATATGTGTAGCTGGGGGAAACTATTTTTTTCGTGAGTACAAATGAAATCAAACTTGCAAATCTAAATCTAGATTTCTTACAAAAAAGCAACCAATGAAAAATGCAAGTCCTATAGGCAGCATCTGCTAGCTTGTTTCTCATTTCTTAATTTTATAATATAGCAATTGAATTAGCCT